TTTTCATGTTCCAGTAATCTCCGAAAGCATGAAAGAAGCCATTCTGGTGCTCACTTCGGCAGCACATATACTAAAATTGGAATGATACAGAGAATATTAGTATGGCCCCTGCGCAAGGATGACACGCAAATTCGTGAAGCATTCTTTATATCTTTTTTTTTTTTTTAAAAAAAGAAGCCATTCTGGAGAGAAACCCTATGAATGTATTAAGTGTGATAAAGCCTTTGCAAGTCCCAGTTATCTCCGAAAGCATAAAAGAACCCATACTGGAGATAAGCCCTATCAATGTAATCCGTGTGGTAAAGGCTTTGCACAGCACATTCATCTTCAACATCATGAAAGAACCCACACTTGAGAGAAACCCTATGAATATATTCAGTGTGGTAAAGCCTTTGTGTGTCACAGTTATACCCGGATGCATGACAGAAGCCATACTGGAGAGAACCCTAAGAATGTAAGAAGTGTGGTGAATCCTTTTTACAGCACATTCATCTACAAAGTAATGAAATTAGCCAATGCTTGAGAGAAAACCCTATGAATGTAAACAGTGTTGTAAAGCCTTTGTATGTCACAGTAGTCTTCAAACACATGAAAGAACCTATACTGGAGAGAAACCCTGTGACTATAATCAATGTGGTAAAGCCTTGGCATGTATAGTGCTCTCTGAAAACATAATAGAACCCCTACTGGAGAGAAACATTATGTATGTAATTAGTGTGGTAAAGGCTTTGTTTATCATAGTCATCTTTAAACACATGAACTAACATATACTGGAGATAAACTCTATGAATGTAATGAGTGTGGTAAAGCCTTTGCACTTCACAGTACTATAAAATGCATAAAAATCACACAGTGGCGATAAACTCTCTAAATGTAATCAGTGTGGTAAGGCATTTGCATGCATGAATAATCTAAATCATGAGAAATATCATACGGCATAGAAACCCTGTAAATGGTTTTATTGTGATAAAATTTTGTACTTTATATAGGAGTAAAACTTTTTGTGTGCAACAATCTCTTAAAATCTTTGTATATTTCAATAGACATTGACTACCTGAAAAAGATACTGAGGACTTCTTATTATAAAGTATTTGGTAAGATCTTTAGCCAAAACACTTATAATAAGCTATACAATGATTTGGGTTTTTCTTCTGTATGTTTTGAATGTATTTTGTTACCATTGTTTAATAAAGAAGGTGCTTTGGTCCTATGGCAGGGCAGAATAGAGCAAGGCAGGAATTCCTAGCAGAGATAGAGGAGAAAAGAAAGTGGAGTCAGACTCCATGTATCTGCTGAAGAAGACAGATGCCCTGGAACCTTACTAATAAATCACAAGTCTTGTGATAAAATACAAAATAATAGGAATGTGGTGGTTTAAGATGTCAGTGTTAGTTAACAAGAATCCTGAACCAGTAGGCCAAGCAGTGTTAATTAGTATAGTTTCTGTGTGATTATTTTGGGTCTGGGCAGCCAGGAATGAATAAGAATCTTCTGCCCATAACACAAGAGTGTTTCTTCTCTAGAAATGAATTTGACAATGTTAACCATCTTCAAACATTATGATGTCCTTTTTATACTGTTTGTACTTACAATCATGGTAAAATGAATTTATGAAGCCCTATGTGTAGGGTAAATGGTCCAGCTAAAGAAACACATCCTGATCCTGAACCCAGAGCCATTGAAATATACAATTTTGACTCTGATACTGGAGCCAAAGAAATACATCCTGACTCTAAAACCAAGACACTTTGTTCCTGAATCTAGAGCCAATAAAAGAAAGACCTGACTCTGAAACCAAACTCTAAAGTTTATAAGGGGCCAGTGAAAGAAAACACTTTGGCCCTGAAACAAGTGCCAAAAAAACACTCTACCCTTGACCACCTGAGCATAAAACCAGCTAATCCTTAAGCTCCAGATCTACCAACACCTGAGCATGAAATCCAGCCAGTCTCTGAGTTGTTCAAGATCAGGGATTGACATCTAAACAATTCCCACCCAGAGAATCTTCTCCCTGGGACATCTCTGCCCCTAAGAAGGCTTATATAAGTTCTGTACATGTTCAGTTGTCATCTGTCCGTTTCTGCCCTGGCAGAGGCAGTCCTTCTCCTGGATTCTTCACTTCCAAATAAATTTCTTGAATGAGTTTTGGGTGAAGACCTTTGACTGGAGTGATCAGAAGCTTTGTAGTGTATTTGAACAGAGAAGCTTTGGTCACCTCTGCTGGCAAATTCCCTTAGAGGAGCAGAGCAGAAGTAGCGACTCTTCACCAGAGACTGCAACAATTCTGCAACGGTTTCCCATCAACTCCAGTGAAGCAGAGAAGTAACAAATTGGGCTGAAGCTGAGAAAGAAATTGACATCTCTTTTAAGAAACTCCCTAGTCGGGTGAACAGAGAAGCATTGGACAACTCTGCTAGGAAACTCCCTTAGGGAAGTAGAGCAGAACAGCAATGGATGTCTCTGCTTTGAAACTCTCTTAGTAGAGTGGAACAGGGCCTAGCTGTGATGGCTCTATTTTGTAGGGGAGCAGTATTGCTACACACTTTAGGGGAACATCTCCCACAGGAACACAGCTTCGGGTATAGCCAGACTTCCCAATAGTCAGTATATGTCAGAGACCATCTTTAACAAGTATACCACTTACCACGGTAGGGTCATGGGGATTAGAACATAAATAAAGAGAATGAAGACACAAGTAAAAATAATAAAAGAGAAGCATAGAAAAGTACAAGGAGGGAGTTCCCGTGAATACTGTAAATCTGCCTGCATTTAATTTTTCATATAGTTTTTTTAAAGATTTATTTTGCGTGTATACAGTATTCTGCCTACGTGCATTCCTGCAGCCCAGAAAAAGGCATCAGATCTCATTACAGGTGGTTGTAAGCCAACATGTAGTTGCTGGGAATTGAACTCAGGACCTTTAGAATGCAGGCAGTGCTCTTTATCACTTAGCCATCTCTGCAGACCAATTTTTTATATAGGTTTATGCCCCAATACAACATCTTTTTATCAAGGAGAAAATATTAGTGAGATATCTATTTGCTATTTGCTATCTAAATAACATCTCATGTAGACTTATATCTAATGTCTGCAGAGATGGCTAAGTGATAAAGGGCACTGCCTGCATTACTGTTCATCAGAACAATGATGGTCTTTTTTAAGGCATACTTTATCCTTTTAGTCTCTCATTCAATGATAGGTCATTTAAAAACACATACTTCAACTGAACCCAGAGGTGCATGACTAAAATCCTAGTACTTGCAGGATTGTGTTGGGCCAATCTCTGAGTCTGTGGCCATCTTGGTGCCCATAGTGAATTCCATTGCAGCTATGGCATTGTGGACATACCCTGTGTCAAAAATTCCAAAAATACAATCTTATCTCAAATTTTGAAACTTTTTCTAATATAATCTGGCTG